GCATGATTTCAAGACGTTTTATTATTTTGGCTGGCAGCTCAGAAGTTCATATAATTTGAAACCCTACAGAATCCTTTCAGCGTTATTAGTGATCCAGTTTGCAGAGTAATGCAAGTAAAGTTCTGTAACAAACTTGTTGGAATTACGTGATGGGGCACAAAAATGTTTACAAATATGTCTTTAATCTCTACGATGCCTAGGTATTGTTTTATTTATTTTAGAATTTGTGGTAAATTTGTTTTCAAAGGCTGCGTGACTTCTAAAATGAATGCTGTATGTATCAGCAAGTATAGATAGTGTTATTAAAAATTCTGAATCTTGATTGTCAGCAACATTTTCTTCTCCTTAGTATAATTTAATTAAAATGTGTAGAAAAAAATGCCAGCTTGTTAGGAATAATGTCTTATTTTATGGGATTGTTAAATAGTGCTATCATTTTATAATGTAACAGCCTTGCTAAGGTCAATTTTTAAAACCTTAATATGATCAGAGGCTGTTAAAGGTGAGTAATGTAGAATGGGAATGTAGTAATAGGGATTCCATAATTTGGGGATAAATGGCATCCTTATCCTCCACAACCAAGAATAAGAATCCTGAAGGATGTTTTACTTACCTGGTACCAGAGTAAGGGATACATCATGTCAGCGAGAAAAGAACTTGGAAAAGGAAGGGATCAATCCATTTGCAGTTGTCCATGTTGAAACAGGTGACTTCAATAGGAACAGGAAGAAGATCCTGCTAAAAGAACATCAGGGATTAGACTTCAATGTGATGAAAGGCCTAGATGCACTTGCTCAGCAACTAATCAATGAGGCTCAGTTTGGGTTCAGCCAGAGCCACTATGTTCCTGAACATATTACAGCCTTGGTTGGAATATGGATAAAATAGTTGGATTTCAGAGATGACATGACAGTGACTGGCCCTGACATCAAGGTCACATTTGACCAAGTGTGGGATCAAGAATCCCTAACAAAACTTGAATCATTATAGCATTGGTCCAAACATGGACAATAGAATTGAAGCTAAGTATGAGGGGGGAAAGGGCAACAGATACATGGGAAAACCACCACCTGCAAGTTCCCCTCCAAGTCACTCACCATCCTAACTTGTAAATATATCACTGTTCCATCACTATCTCTGGGTTGAAATCCTGGAATTCCCTCCCTAACAGCACATCAGTCAACCTACAGCACGTGGACTGCAGTGATTCAAGAAGGCAGCTCACCATCACCTTCTCCAGGGACAAGCAATTAATGCTGGCCAGCCAGTGACACCCATGTCCCACTGTTATGGACCAGAACAAACTCGTTCAAAATATATTAAGGTAGCGTAAACCTTAACTTTTTCTTATTTTAAAGGTAAGTGTAAAGTACTGCATTCCAGATGTAATTCGATTGGTCAAACTACCAGATTTGAAACAAAATACACTTTATTCATACACTTTAGTTAAAATACAAAAAGAAAAAGAATTGGCTTAGCTGTAATGCTATTGGAAAACTTAACAGCATAATCAATTATTTTACTACTAAATACAGTAACATCCTATAAATACACCCTTGGCAAAAGGCAAATTCAGAAAAATAGATTGCTTTACATGCAACTTCAGCAGCCCCGTCGGAAAAACACCAAAGTAACTCAGAGAGTGTAGCAGGGAGATGTATGTAGTAACAGAACCAGCAACAACTGCAACTGAAGAACTAAGAAACTATAAGTTCTGTGGGAGCTTGACCACTCGGGCTTCTTCTATTGTTCCAACTAAAAAAAAACCAAGCCTCACAAGCTATTTACTTTACAAGTTTTCAGTAGATATTTCGCACCTCTTTTTTTAAAACCTTTCTTTAGAAAAAGGACAAAATAGATCTCTTAAAGCCAAAGTATCGTCACACCAATGTATGGAGAAAAGTTAGATTTACAGGGATGGGAGATTCAAGTGGAGCATAAACACTGGTATGGACTGATTGGGCTGAACAGCCTGTTTGTGGGTTCTATTTCCTAAATAGGTCAAAGTAATTACGTGGCTGGAGCTACCGTTGGAATTGGTGAGAGACGTAAAAAGGAACATGTCTGGAAGTTACAATTCAGTCCATTATCAGTCAGCTGAAAAGGTTTTCCTGCACAGCAGGTAGCTGGAGCAATAATTGCTCAGTAGTTGTCTTACTGTAGGATGTCGTGACCAAATGAAGTGGAATTAGCTCTCCTCTTTTTAACCCCCTTTTGGTCAGTTGCAACAAATATTTTCCTTTCTTTTTATGCTTCAATTAAAAGTTTGCTGGAAAATGAAGGAGCTAATTACTAATGTTTCCTTGAGTGAAAGAGGAATTTTATTATTTGCTGATCAAGATATTAAAAACATATCAAAAACACAGGTTAACAACTTCTTTCTTTTTTAAAAAAAGACCTATTAGATAAAAACAAGGCTGTGAAATTTGAATCCTTAGAATCTTTGAGGTGTTGCATATTAAACCTGAGGCCACAGTTGAGTAATTATTGACTTATATCAGCAGCAGTACCAGAATCTGTAGATATTGAGTCTTGGTGAATGATTGCTTTCTTCAAGTTATTTTAATACTGGGTGCTGTTTTCTGAGATGAGAGCGCGCTGGGGAGAGTATTCCTGCATTTCTCTCTCAGTTTTGCTCAAAAAGCAGCTGTGGAAACATAGTCTAGCTGGTAATCTGGACTCTAGTTCCATTGTCTTTCCAAGCTGGCCAACTGGGAGGCAAGTCTTTCATTTCCCAATATATGAAATTATCAAACATACATGTGTGAAGTAGAAAGGAGTCACCAACACATTGATGCTAACTCAATTGTTTAGGTTTATTGTGAGAAAAATGGTTATTTTAGTGCAGATGGTTTATTTGTTTCACATTAGGCTCATGAAGCTTGCCTCAAATTGTGATCAGGTTTAGGGCCATGTTTCTTCCTTTTTAAAACAACCGTTCTATTTGTGAGAGGTCTCGATACAACAATTGGGTGATAAAAGTTAAAATTCCGTAGTCCATATTTACTATCATAACAAGGAGTAAAAGGATGAGCCAATGGCATTCAGGAGCACAAAAGCACACCACTTGAGTAACAAATGGTTCCTTCCAGGCACTGGATGCATTGCAGTGTAATCACTTTTTGGACAAAATGCATTAAACCAATGTGATTCAGGCAAAGTAGACTGAATGGAACTGAAGGTTAGCAGTTTGTCCATGAAGATCAAGTAGCAGTCAGCCATTCATTCTGGAATACTGATGGCATATTTATGTTAAAATACCTCCTAGGAGCCCGTGCTTTTCCTTTTGATTATGTACATGGAATTTCTACTTTAATGTGCATCCATCCATATTATCTACACTTCTCAGCAGAAAAAAAAGACTTGAAAGAAAATAAATAAAATTGACATCAACTGGTATAATCAATTTACTTGTGCCATATTGCTGGAATTTTGAAAATCACATTTATCCCAATATTTTGATCAAACTAATGCTGTAACAGTAAAATAATTATATAGCCTTTACTGAAGTGCACAAAATAATACGAATATACTTTTGAGCCATTAAATTTTAGTCTTACAGCATTTTTGATTTCCAATGTAAATTTAATTAGAGATTCCTTTATTACCAGCCCTACAGGGACTTAACTTTTTTTTTGGCAAAGTCTGGCTAACAAAAGGAGTTGTATAACAGTTTCAACTTAAGGTCTTATTCCTGTAACAAACAAAAATCAAGATATACTATACCTTACTTAGTAGGCAACTGATTCTAATATTGCAGTCACTGTCATTCCTTTATTTAGCACTGCATAGGAACACTAGGGTTATCCATGGTTGGTTTTCTTGTTACATCTTAAAAGTAGTGGATTTCAGTGGTAAGGATTGGATGCTTCTCTGGCCCAAGGTCAGCAAGATACAATAATTCAAAAAGGTCACAATTGTAACCAACAAAGTAGTTCAGGACTATAAATGATTAATTGGTCTACAAAGTTGTCAGAAACAGCAGCAATTCTGAGGATTAAGAAAGGGAGAATAGAATATGACTGCAATCAAAAGCAGACTGTAACAGCTTTTAAGTAAGTAAAAAGAAAATGTTTGGTGAAAATGAATGTGGGTCCATTACAGGCAGAATCAGGATAACATTTAATGGGGAATAGGAATAGGGCAGAAAGCTAATTTATTAATGTGTTCCTTTTTCACTGAGGAAGATACAAGAAATCTCCCAAAATTAGAGAGATCCATGTGATGAGTGAGAACAAAACTTCAAGGGAATTTGTTACAAGTAAAAAGATTGTGCTGGAGAAATTCATAGAGCTGAAAACTGACAAATCGCCTGGACCTGATATTCTAAATCTGAGTGCTGAAGAAGGTGGTTACAGAGATAGTCAATGTATTGGTAACTATCTTCCAAAAGTCTATAGGTTTTGGAATGATTCCTGCAGATTGGAAGGTAGCAAATATCAGTCCACTATTTAAAGAAGGGAGCAAGAGAAGGCAAAACAGAATTACAGACCTGTTGATTTTACACAATTCTCACTTAGGCAGGCTGCGACTAGTGGGATACTGCAAAGATCAGTACATGGGCCCAGCTATTCACAATATACATTAGTGATTTGGACATGGGATCAACTAATATTTCCAAATTTGCAGGTGATAAAAAGCCAAGTGGAAATGTGTTGTGAGGAAGATGTAAACCTTCAAGTGAAAAGACCACCTTTTCCTTCAGTGTGGGCTGGCTGCTAAGTTTAAAAAGTCAGTGTACTAACAAATAATGCCACATTGAATTCTCTTTTATTCACTCACTCAGCCAACAAAATTGAAAAAGAAATTCACTCATTCTTTAGATGAAGCCAGAGTACTACTCTTAATTGCAAGAGATTCAGATTAATTTAATGCCTCCGTTGTGAAGCTGCCAGGACATACTGATATTTAGAAAAAAAATGTAAAGGTTATTTTCAGAAGCAGTTTGGCATTAGGTATTCTCAGTAGTTTATAGAAATGAATAACAAATTTAGGACAAATTAGTAAAGCAATATTTATAATTTTTCAAGATTAAACATGTACATTGTACAGAAAACTGGCCCATGCAAACACAATGGCTGTAAATGTTGGCCCTTTTAATTAAGTCAAGATATTAACATTCCCACTCAATGCAGAGTGTTCAAATTGAAGGTCTTTTTTTAATATAAAAGCACTACACAATTTATTTTTTGTCTTTCTTTTCTTCCTTCTTCGATTCACATTTTTCTTTGTCATCTTTCTTCTCTTTCTTTCCTTCTTCCTTTTCTTGCCCTTCCTTCTTTTCTGCATCTCTATTGGCAATTTTATTGTTGATTAAGTTGTGTAGAGCAACTACTGATCGGATAAGTGAAGCAAGATACACCACCAACATTTGATCATTCGTCTTCAGGTAAAAGGCTTTCACAAACTCCTGCAGATTAACATCAGGCAGTAGATTGAAGACGTCCTGCAACTGGTAAATAATTTGATGGTTGATGGGCAACTTCCCTGTGGCCACCTTCTCCAAGTAATTTCTTATCTCTAAAATTTTTGAGTTCAGTCCTTTGAGACCATGCACTTGGTTTGTGATTCGCTGTGACAGTGTTCCTACTGTAGTATCCTTAATATCTCTGTAATGGGGGTACAAGCACATAAATTGAACATTATTCTAAAGTTTGGTCTTAAGTTATAAAATCAGACAACTTAAACATCATACAAAGAATTCAAATCTACATTTAATACAGTATGCATGCTAAAAGCTGATTTATAAACATCATTATCCTATGACAGCGACTTACAACTGATGTGCTGTGGCACACTGGTGAGCTGTGAAGTTTTGTATAAAATTAATGAAAATCAATGTAAAATAAATTTGAAACATTAATGCATTTGATTCTTTAGCTTGTTGTATGCATTATGTTGCAAACCTCTCAGACCATAAATCATCATAAATGCAAGTAAATTTGATGTTTAACTGAAGAAGGTGGGGCAGGGAATTATTTCTCTCATTGCTGAAAAGGTTGGAATTGTACCAAAGAAAAATAATAATCCTATGTCAAGACCGATGGGCTACAGCTCAACTCATTGGATAAACAAGTTTAATTATATACCAAATTAAGACTACAAAAATCAGCAGAATCATTTAATTCCAAACTTTTATTAATCTAATTTTTAAAAAAAATCAATACCCATCTTCTCCAAAATAAATCCCACTATCACAGTATCAAAGGGAGATGATGGAATAATTCACTGAACTTTGTTTTAGGATCAAGAATTGCTGACATTTCCAGCTTACCGTAGCAAGTGCTCTACTCCAACCTCTTCTGCTTCTTCTGCTCCAATTTCACTAGTGACATGTTCAAATGTTTTGGAAGTTGGAGTTCCATCCTGTAGAGATACCACAGTAAATACTGAGCTTTTTAAAAAATTCATTCATGGGATGAGGGCATTGATGGCTGGGCAACATTTACTGCCCATCCCTAATTATCCTAAAGGCAGGTAAGGGTCAACCACATTGAGTTACACGTGGGCCAGACCAAGTAAAGATGGCAGTTCCTTCCCCAAAGGATGTTATTGAACCAGATGGGTTTTTCCCGACAATCAACAATAGATTCATGGTCATCACTAGATTCTTAATTCCAGACTTATTTAAAATTTAATTCAAATCCCACTATGCGCTGCGCAGGGATTCGAACCCAGGTCCCCAGAACATTATCTGGATCTCTGGATTAACAATCCAGCAATAATACCACATCGGCTATAGCCTCCAATATCCATTTACAGAGAGCTCTCATTTTTTTGTCAGATGTTTTATGGAGATTTGAGGAGAAGATGTTGACCAGCCATTCATTATTTTCCTTTATAATTTTCCCCTTTTTACATGAAGGTACTAATCTTTGTTTGGTATGTACACTGGAAGATGGCTAGTGCCCAAGGATACATTGCTCATGGCAGTTATTTTACCAAAGTAGGTATCACAGTCAAATCTAAGCATTTATCATCTCAACAATTACATGCACACAATCTACACTAAAAGTCATCACCAAGCATCCTGAATCATTCTGCGTCCAGACCAGCTAAGTCAATTGTAGATTTCTTAAAACTGCCCTGGCTAGAAATCAAAAGGAATCTCTGTGATTTGCCTCTGACAGTGGTGATAACTGAATTGGCTTTGCTTCTTGGGCACTAATCTGAACACAGTTGAAAAGTGTTCATACGTTGCTCAGATAACCACTGATCATCATCCAGTAATGGAAGCGATGTTATTCAATGCTACTTCATTTTTCCCACGTGTGGAAGAATATCCAAGTGACAAGCAAGTCAGAATATGAAAATCACATTCCTCAAGAACGTGGAGAAAGTCAAAAATTTAATACCTTTATAAATCAAACAAAGTGCCTTTTTTTGGCTTTTAGGTTTATAATTAGGGTAAAGCTTAAATTAAATTTTAGTGTAATGACTTTTGAAAAACGTAAAAATCTTTAAACGCATACCGAAAGTATAAATCACATTTCAGTGGGTTTTCATCACTGAAGAAAATTCCATCCAAATGATTAATTACATTTCAGGCTTTGACATGTGTCACTAAACTCATAATGCAGTACTCACATCATGAACTTCCTCTACTGAAATGTAAGCCTCTGTAGGGAGCCCCAAGTCTTTTGGTTTGACATCAATGATAACCAAAACCTTTAAAATAAAAAAATCAGAACACATACTTTTACCTTAGTCTCATGAAGTCAAAACATTGATAAAATAGATAATCTCTAACTCCAGGAAACAAGCATATTATAAAACAGAAATGCAACAATTTATGTTACTGCAAAGCAATATTAGGTTTCATGTTGAATAATTACAACTGTTGTTCACAAGTGCTGCAACTGAATGTTAAAAAGGGGAAAAAGGAAAGTGTTGTATTCTCATATTATCATCCTGCTAATTACACTAAGAAATGAGAACAAATAAACCATATTGTATGTAAATATTACAGTAAATTCAAATTTTTATACAACATCTTTGGTAAAGAATCCTATCTTTTTTTAACTATATACGTAACAGCCATGATTGACAGGTTATTAACCAATTTCACTTCAGACAGCCTTAAAACAGAAGATTCGGTCACATCACTCCCATCCATACATTCTTGTCAATACTTCTAAATATTTGTTACATTTTAAGGCTTTAAATACTTAAATAAATTTACAAGAATAATTACTACATAAATATACTCATGAGATCTTGATCTCAGACTAAATTATATACCTGATCTAACAATCAGAAGTTGAATATACCTGTGAAAATAATTGTGATATACCACACAAGATCCTTTGTGAGAAATACAAATTTAAAATGTCACCATATTTTAATTACATTTGTTTTTAAAAAAAATTGATTAAAGTCAATTCATCAACAAGACTTAATCATATCTACATTAAAGAAAATGAAATTCTTAACCAGATGAAATTCTTAAACTAATGAAAATGTGGAAGGCTGTATTCAGAACGAATACACTTATGCCATTAAAATTATTTTGCAATTAAATAATTAACATCACCATCCAAAACAAGCATCTCCATACATAATGTAAATACCAAATCAGTGTTATTTACAATCAACTATTGGAAGGTTATTCAAAGGAGTAAAAAGTATAAATCCTTACAGAATTAGGACAGTATCGTTTCATCAGTTCATTGATAGCGATGTCATTTTTGTGTAACTTAGGTCCAGTGTGGTACCATCCAACAATCCTTTCCCTGGCTAAGGCAATAGGTAATCATCCATTAACATTATATACTTTGATGCATCATGTTGAATAAGCAGCAAAGTGAGAATGTCATCGCATGTGCACAACTTAGAAAGAAAAGCCTCACTTGAAGTGATATTTGTTCTAATTAGTAACGAGATTTATGTACCACATAATAAGACTCTGTATTGAACCTGGCAGCGCATGAACAGGACTTTATATTGTTCTTATTTTGAAGCCAAATAAATGCAGGTGTCAAACAGAAAATTCCTGTTTAATGTCAATTTAATTGCTCATTTTAAAATATATTTTCTCCAATTTGACATTCAGGTATGCAGAGAAACAGGCTGAGCTATGTTACTCAAACTGACCAGAAAGAAATATATGATAGTAATACAGTTTGCATCTTTTATTGTTAAAGCAAAATAACTACTGTTCCAATCACTTCCACTTCGAGAATAGGCCTCACATTCTCCAAGTGCCCTATTAGGGATCAGAAACTGAACAAAGATTGAGCCATTCAGTTTGACTAAAATAAAAGAGTAACGAGCAGGTATAATCTAAATTTAGGTTCAAGAGAAGTACTTACTATAAAGGAATCTTACCATTCACTTTCTTAAACATTCCATACATGTTTTCCAAGTAATCATGATCCAGGAACCACACAGAATCATCTTTCTCATCCTCATCGAATGGAACTAATATGTTAAAGAACATTCAAAAAATGAAATGTTCTGAAATGTCAGGCAGTTACTAAAACTCAAAATTAACTGTAAAATTGTAGTGTTCAGGAAATTACTTTCCATTTCAACAAGTGCAATGTTGAAAAGATGTCCAGGCTTTAATTATCAAGACAAATTATTGAAATTTAAACATTAAATTATACAACTGAGAGTAAAACTTTCCTGCTTGTCATCAAAGTTTACAATAACTGATTTTGTTTAAATTATAAAAACCAAGCATGAAGGACCTTTGCTCAGCCAACAATATTTACAGTCACAATAGCACCTTTGAAAGGGTTCCCAACATAGTTCTGTAAAATGTAATAAAGTTATGTACATAATAATTTGTAAACAAAGATCCAAGAATTTTTTTAATTCAGCAGATTACTGCTTTGCAGCCGTGACAGAAGAATCTAAAGAAGAAATATATTGTGTTATTGATTGTTCAAAACTGAAATTAATATTGAATTATAGTTTTGAAACTTGTTTGACCATTTCAGAGCAACACTTATTGCTTAAAAACCATCCAAATGAGAACTTTGATTGCAAATGTTAGATCTCAATTGAGGATTTTGTCAGATTATTCCATATTAGAAGCAAATGACATTCAATGATTAATAGCAGTTTATTAGTAATAATCAGATTTACTACTAATTTCTTACCTGCAAAACTATTTGAAACATCAAGCACCTTTTTGTGCCAGGAACCCAACAACACTCCGACTACTCTTTTTTGATTTCCAACTTTTCCTATTCTGAATATTAAAAATGAGAAGTTACCACAATGAATAATTTAATAATTATTAACAAAATAAGCAATATTTATCAAGCGACAGCTTGATTAATTACTAATGGATTATTTTCATTCACTCTAATGTATTATTAATTATATTTAACCATCTTATTGGAACTAACAATTATATTTGTCTGATACTTTGTTTCAAAGATTCTGAATTTGCTGCCATTCATGTAATGAGGCAGGGCAAAATATTACTTGGCAAGCAAAGCTATCAACTTTCTGCCTTTTAAGAAGCACTGCCCATAAGCATTACCATCAAAGGAACTTATCTATATTTAATTGATATAGAATTAACATTTTAAGCTTGTTCTCCACACCACGTACTACAGCAAAAACTCGCAGCTTGGCAGTACCCTCAAGCTTATGAATTCCAACTCCACCACAGCACTTTATGGATTTCAACAATGCAGAGTTCAACCTGAGGCACCATTTTTTGGATAAGACGCTGAAAAGCTCAGACTGCTTGCTCAGATGGATACACAAAAAAAAAAGTCATAGAACCAGAGTGGTTACAGTGCAGGAGGCGGTTATTTGGCACATTGTCTCTGCACCAGCTCTCTGAATGAGCATTACGAGGTGGTACTATTCTCTGGCCCTTTCCCTGTAACCATGCACCTTGATTATTCAAATAAAAACATCTACTGGCATCTTGAATGTCTCATTTGAACTTGCCTCTTTGACCAAGCAGTGCTTTCTATACCAGTTAGTTCAGCTGGTTGGTTTGTGATGCAGAGTGATGCCAACAGAGTGGGTTGGATTCCCATGCCGCTGATGTTACCACGAAGAACTCTCCTTCGCAAATTCTCCCTTTGCCTGAGGCGTGGTCACCCTCAGGTTAAACCATCACCAGTCATCTCTCTCTAATGAGAGAGCATTCCAATGGTCTGGTAGGATTATGGGACCTTTATCTTTACTACATAGCGCCGCATACAAATTCAGCACAGCCGCTGTTATTTCGAGAGTCATTTATTGTTTGTGAAACCTTAGTGTGCAGCAACTGTATTTTCACCCAAACCTCTAGATTAGGTTCACAGCCCAAAATATTGGTTTACATGGTTTTAAATAAACATTGTTTTAGAAAAGAATTAAAATAGAAACATATTCTTCAAGTTAATTTGTGTCACTGCTAATATGGTAAACCCATAATGTCCAAGCAATGCATATGTAGATGGGAACAATAATAAAATGGGAAAAATCTTTTACATTAATGATGACCATTCCTGCATGGGGTACTAGATGACGCTTAACATCCAAGTGGCGCAGCTAACGATTCACCCAAATATATCCATGCTCTTAAAATGTACCCAAAATCCTGAAGTAGTGTACAGCAGCGATTATTACATCCAATTCAGACTGCTTGTACAAAATTACGATACTGAACACAAGTCAGAGGGGGATGGGGGAGAAGGGAGATAGAGTAAGTGAGAGGGAGACAAAGACCGAGTGAGAGAGAGATAGAGAAGGCTGGCCATGTAACTAGTTATTCACTGAAAATATAGTTGCAGCTTAAAACCACCCTGCCTCTGCTTAGATGCAGTTTTACTCACTCATTCCTCAAAAACAGAAATGTTTGGTGGATAGATGATAACTCAATTTCATACAAATTTAAGCAACAAAATGACGGCGAATTTTAAATTTTCCTATTACCTGGTGAAACATGGACGTTTAATTTGATAAGTCAGGAATATCAGACTCAGTAACTGGATAAGGCCAGTCAGCCCTTCGAGCTTCCTTCACATTCAATAAGATTTTCATCTCCACCCCAGTTTTCTGCCTGCCCTTGACTATTTAGGTGTGCACTTGTGTTGCCAAGGCATATAAGGGTATGGGCCAAGTGCTGAAAATGGGATTAGAATAGATACATGGAAGTTTTTACTAGCATGGATGTGATGGGCCAAAGGACCTTTTACTATGCCGTAGATCTCTCCGACTAGTTCTAGTCTCCTCGAAAACTTAAACATCCTAATAGTCACCATATCGGGTCCCCTCAGGATCATATGTTTCAATAATATCCCCTCTTACACTTCTAAACACCAATTAGCACAGGTGCAGTCTGTTCAATCATCCCTTACAGGATAATCCTCTCATCCTTGGAATGAGTGAGTGAACGAACATTTTCTGAACTTCTTTTAACAATTACATCATTTTCAAATATGGAGACCACAACTGTACTACAGATGTGTCTCGCCAAAACCTTGTACAATCCATGTAAAATTCCCCTCTCGTATTCAACGAACCTTGCAATAATATTCCATTTCTGCTTTTCTAATCACACCCCATGTCTGAGTACTAACTTTGTGTTTCATGTACAACCATACCCAGATGTGTCCGTACCCTGGAGATTCGCAATTTCTCTCCATTTAAATACTATGTTGCTTTTCTACCTTTCCAGCCAAAATGGACAAGATCACATTTTCCCACATTATATCCCTTTTTTTGATCACTCACCCATCTATATTCCCTTTCTACCTCCTTTTGACAACATACTTTCCCACCTATCTTCACGTCATCCACAAATTTAGTTGCCATACATTCAGGACCTGCATCCACATCACTGAAAAAAAAACTGCAAATAGTTGAAGCCCCAACTCTGGTGTCAAAGTACTTCACTGGTTACAGCCTACCAACCTGAAAGAGATCCATTTATATACTGTAGTGGCACTTATTTTCTCATTTGGGTCAGTAATACTGCTCTGAATCAGAGCCCTTTTCACCAATATAAAGAAAAACATCTATCACCAATTTTATTACTGAAGCTAAGTTTTCAAAATTTACTGAATATCCCATACAACACTAGCTCAGTGTGTGTAGATACATAGGCACTATTTGAACTCAGGGGCAGTCTTCGGGCTGCGAATGGGTTCCGTTCTGAAATTGTTTGTAAGTCGATTTGTATGCAAGTTGGAACACAATGCAGAATAATGTAAAGGATCAGTTTGAAAGTACAGAAAATGTTTGTACATTGGGCCTTTAAAAACTACATTCATGTATGGGGAACCCGCTGAATAGTACAATGAATTCACATTAAATATGATTTTATAGTACAAATAAATGTGTACTAAATATGAAAAATAGGATGTCAAGAAAATTGATATTTCTCAGATGAAATAGGCATTTAGCTTAATGCACATAAACAGCTTTTAAGTTTTTTTTCAAACTTGCTCTTTAATCAGATTGGCCATGCTAAATTGCCCACAGTGTTCAGGTATCTGTAGGTTAGATGAGTTAGCCATGGGAAATGCAAGGTTACTGGGTAGGGGGATGGGTCTGGGTGGGATGCTTTTCAGAGTGTTGGTGTGGACTTATTGGACTGAAGGACCTGTTTTCACATTAGAATCAATGTGACAGTACTGAAATACAAGTTAGGTGAATGTGAGACAAACACATTGCTGGAATGTAAGTAACCAGACACACTGCAAAATTATAACCAATTTTGATAGACCAGATCAAACACCAGAGGTTCAGAGATAGCAAGAAAGGCAGATGATGGAGTCAGAGACAGTGTAGTGCAGGCCAGGCAGCAGAGGAGCAGGAAAGCTGACATTTTGGGTCGGAACCCTTCTTCAGAAATCGGGAGGGGGAAAGGAGCTGGGAAATAAAGAGAGAGAAGAGGGGTGGGCCTGGAGAAGGTAGGTGGGATTATGATAGGTGAGGAGTGATCCACTGATTAAAGAAGTTGATTATATAGAATTTACAGTACAGAAACAGGCCATTTTGCCCTATACCAGTGCTTGCGCTCCACAGAAGCTTCTACCCGCCCATATCAGCATATCCTCTAAGTGCTTGTGCGGCAATCACCTTAACTATTCCACATACTGACAAGTTCAAAGGTGCAGATCATAAGTTTTAGCAACCTAATTAGAATTTAAACATTTATAGATTTATAACGATGTGCCAAAGAAGCAAGGGTGATGCAAGAAAAAAACTTTTTCACACAAATAGTTAAGATATGGATCGTACTGCCTGAAAATGTGGTGGAGGCAAATTCAATAAATAATAGGCAGGGGTGTGCAGAAAAAAGGAGATCGGCACTCGGTAATAATGCTCGTTTGAAGACACGGTGATGGGCCAAATGGCATCCTTCTGCACCATAACAATTCTGAGATTCTGAAAAATTCTGTAATACCTCCAGTTACAAAGACATCAGCAGTACAAATGTGATGCTTAGGCTCAGATTCTCAACAAAATGACATGAATTTGGAAAATGTGATAGGTTAGGGAGAAACAACCTATTTCCTCTGGTGTGAAGGAGTTCAGGATAAGGCCCGTAACCTTGAAAATTACGGCTCTGCCATTCAGCAGCGATAGCAAGAAGCTCTTATTCACACAAAAAAGTCTCGGAAATCTGGAACTCTCCCAAAAAGAGCGATGGAGGCTGGATCAATTGAAAATTTCAAAACTGAAGCTGATTTATTTAAATGTTACACGATCAAGTTACACATGCAAATACATGCCAGGCCAGATGAAAGATGTGGAATTGCCCACTCCCGTTCTTATGTTTCACAGCAGCATCCGATTACGCTAACCACTACAGTGCGCAACCTTGGTTTTCAATTCCTGCTAAAAAAATTCGCACTCCTGTTCAACAGAAGTGTTTAGGTTTAATTCTGTTTTTCTCCTGGGACTTCAACCAGTCACCTTTAATCGATATTTGCAACTAAATAGACGAATTAAAAGATACATGGAGCAAAGATACAGCACCATCTTTAGCGGACTGGATTATAAACGGAAATCCATTTAAAATCCGAACGGCGAGAATAAATGTAGATGGAAACAGCGACGACTTGGCAGCTGGGGCCGCATTTAGAGACAGTGTTGCTCGTATGACTCAGCAGTAGTAGCGGTAGCTGCTACTCCAGGCAGTCGCTGTGTGCGGGGGAAGGCCACAGGCCCCGAACCCGCCCTTTGCAGCAGCTCAGCCAGTCCCCGAGAAAACTCCGGGCACATGAGCCGGACTCCAAACCCTCTGCTTTCTACCTGTTAAAATGATCCACGACGCTCAGCAGCACCAGCGGATGAACGACCACTTTCTCCACCACAGGATCCGGCATCGTGTCCGAGCGCCCGGGGCTACCAGAAACAGAGAAGGGGCGGGGGGAAAGCGAGAGAAAAACAGAGAAACAGGAAACGGGTAGAACACAAATGACCTCCTTCCCAACTCATGACCCGGTAACCGTCGCGGCACCGGAAATGACTTGTTGCTGTGTGGGTGCCATGTTGGTGAGGGCAGGGAGAGTGATGGCTGAAGAAGGGCTGTGAGACAGTGGGACTGTCGGCCAACAAGCCTCTCGCTATCTGGCGCTGGTGTGAACGGCAAAGTGGGGTATTGGTGCGGGAGCCACTTGGTGTGAATGGGCGGAGCGGCCTATGGGACTGGAAATATTAAAATTCGCACAAACAGGTACATGGGGCTGTGCTCCTGTTAGGGAGGATAGAGGAATTGTTAAAATTAGTCACATCGTTTTGTTTTAAAAATGACCGGGGTTACAGAGGTTCCCTCCCATTCAACCGACGTTCCCTTCAAGAAGCAGCTTCGCAAACAGCAAGTGTACAACCTAATTGTGAAATAGACTGAAATGCCGGACTGTATGTCGTTGCCTCCCAAATCTCTGGCCATTCGTCCTACCAATCCGCACTTGAGTCCTCCAATCAGATTTCCGACCCGACACAGCAGGAAAATGGCGCTATAAATGTCACAAATTAGGTCCCATGTCATCATCATTCTCGACTTGTCTGCAGTTTTTCACATGATTGATCACAATATCCTCCAAAGCCTCCTCAATGTCATCTGGCTGGATGGGCCAGCGCTCACTCATCACTCTCATCTGTCCAATGCAGTTGGAGAATCACCAGCAATGGCTTCCCCTTCCACTCTCAGATTATAGCCTCAGTTTCCCAAGGATCTGACCTTGACCCCCTTCTATTTCTGTTTTTGCAGTTCCTTAGCAATATCATCCAAAAAGCAGTGTCAGTTTTCGCACGAATTCTAATACATCTGCCTTCACTTCACAAACTCTCTCAACCCCTCTGTTGTGTCCAAATTGTCTGTTTGTAAAAGATAAGCTATTTTAGGAGCAGATTTTTTTCCCTAAGATGTAGGAGGAGAAGCAGGCCATTCGGTGGCTGATATGATAGTGCTCAACTCCAGTTTCCTGCCTTTTCTCCCATAACCCTTGATGTCCTTATTGTTAAAAATCAGTCCACCTCTGCCTGGAATATTCTTAAAAGCCCACTGTAGACAACCCTCAATGGTAACAAATTCTATTGTTGCCATTTTACCCTTGACTCTCCTGCAAAGGGAAACAACCGTTCTGCATCTACCCTGTCAACTTCCCTGAGAATCTTGCATGTTTCAACAAGGCCACTTCTTACTCTTTCAAACTGCAATAAGAACAGCCCCAGCCTGCTCAACCTCTTTATAAGACAGTACCTCCACACCCAGAATTAGTCTGGTGAACCTTATCTGGACTGCCTTCATTGCCAATACGTGCTTCCTCTGATAAGGGGCCCAGAACTGTTCACAATATTCCAACTGTAGGCGGTTGAATGCCTTGTATAGTTTTCAGAAAGACTTTCCTATTTTTCTACTCCATTCCCTTTGAAATACAGACCAATATTCTATTTGCCTTCCCTATTAGCATGCAAAATCAGCAGGTAGCTTTGAAATTTTTACATGTGACTCCTGAATTACTGTGCTATAGCTTTGTGGTCTTTCTTAATTTAAATAATATTCAGGTCCTCTACTCTTTCTACCGAAGTGCATGCAATATTGGGAACATCGAAGCCTTTGTCTATTTCCTTACTACTGACTCAATTTTTCTATGTGGTATCTAGCTGGAGCCACATCTGACTGTTTATAACTCTACTATCATATTTAATTTAGAAGATGAATGTCCACCTATGTATCTGCACCATCACCAAGTCTATCTATTACCTACCACTTGACTGTACCCCCTCCCTCAACTGAAACCTGTATCATAAACAAAATAATGATCCTGAGCACTTATTTCATTTGAAACTTTGAAAGAGGTCCTATTATAGGAGTATTTCTCCCAATAAAAATTCTTGGGTGTTTAACAAACAAAGCTATTGATGACGGAAGTTATTTTTTAGGATCACAAGTTTAGCATAGTTAGATTTCTTTTCCATCCTATGCCTTATTCTTTGTTGATTGCTTAGATTTTATGTTTGCAATAGGAGTTACGCTGGCATTGCAACTGAATTACATCACTGTTTATTGTGCTTTATGTTTGTGCTTTGAATTACATTCTGAACAACTGGGTAGCATATATCACTTGATGTATCATGATTATCTATAGATAGTGTGTTGGAATATAATTGTAAATAATTCTAGTGGATTCAAAAACGAATACTTTATCTGATTCCAAGTGTATCTGTGCAAAAATACTGGTTTATTTCCCTTGTTTTAGGAACTGTTACTCAAATCCTGACGTTGACATTACCTGCTACAGCTATTGAGCATGAATGATGATGACTCCCTTCACCGGCTGGAGGGCAGTGACCCTGGCAATCAGGTTGGCGGATTAATAATAAAAAAGAAGATTGCCACAGATGACCAGCATATCTTTCGAGCACCAGCACCAAAGACCTCACTGTTAGGGCTTGATAAATTGGCTGCTCAGAAAAGAAAAGAGCGGGAAGAGAAAGAAGAAGAAGAAAAGAAGAAATCAAAGGTATCATCCTATAAAGACTGGGCAGAAGGAAAGGAAGACTTTGGTTCTGATGAAGAAAGTGTTGACAAAGTAGGCAGACGTGGGAAAAAGGAGAGGTATGACACTACAGTGATGATTTACATTAATTGTACCTATTTTTCTTCCAGTAATAGTTGTTCAGTCACTTCCTTTAAAACATGTTAGCAGGACACAACTAGAATGTAGAATGAGAAAAGATTGTCTTTAATGTGTGAGAAAAGATTCTACCCCTTTTCAGAAATAAACCCTACAGAAAATCATGAAATAGCATGAAGGCACCTCAGACCACTACATGAACAGACCTTTGGAAATGAGCTTAGGGGACATCTATTGTGAAATGGCAATGGATAGGAAGTCTGACATGTTTCTGCTTCCAGGGATATTCCCAACAACAGATATAGTAGAGCAGAGATGGTTGGCCAATAAAGATTGTTAATTGGCTATTGATGACCTTTATAACAGACAGCCAAGATTTTATGAGCTCGGAAAAGCCCTGAGCTGAAATGGGACAACCACCCAGTGGCTTAACGCCTTCATCTTTTAACATTCCAAAGCTGAAGAAGGGGGGCCCCAACAGCAATGGTTATTCCCACGACTCCATTGCCTGGTTACCAGCCTTCAAGGGTACCTCAGCAAAGATGCATCCTCTCAGTTTCCTTGTGGCCTCAGCTTTTCTCAACAGCACTGAGAGATGCTGGCCCTCTGAATAGACCAGCTACTTGAAGTGGCAGGCTGTTGTCTTTAATTGTATGGTAGACCCAGAGAGGCCTGTGTCTTTCTGATCATGTGGATGGGAGGGCTCTTGTGGTGCAGTGGTAGTGTCCCCATCTCTGGACCAATTGGCCTGGACTCACGTCTCATCTGCTTTGGAGCTGTGTAATAACATCGCTCAGCAGATTGCTTAGAAAGTATCTTCACCCACATGGGCTTAGACCTGTACTTGGCAGGATGGAATGGAACAATCCTATGAGCTCCCTTTACTCAATGTTTTAGTTGAGAAGTCAGCCACGTGGTTCTCTACTGCTGTCTGCTGCAAACTTATCTTCACTGGTCAGTACGCAACTTGAGATTTCTACAGTTCCATGGATTATAAAATGGGCTTTATTGGTAATGTTTTAAATAGGGCCTGAGCCCTTAATTCACTGTGGAAGCATGATGCTGAAATAGGACATGTAAAAGCCATGCTGCAAGAGTACGTCTACTGTGGTCAGATCTTCTATCACTATATCATGCACAGTCACAAAAGATCCTATGGCAGTCACTTTTGGCTCTGGAAAGTGTCTAATCCATCTCAAATCACCTGAAAAGTTGGAGCAACAGGTGAAGCTATTTATTTCATGCTGTTTTCTCCTTCCAGCAAGGCCATGCTGATTATCCTGATCAAACTTTGCCTCTCTAAAGAGAACCTCACTGAATTGAGGGCAAATTACTGACTGGGAAATTAGTTGAGGAATATTCAAACTGACAGGATGTAACCAGTGGTGTTCTACAGGGATCTGTGTTTCGGCTTGAATTATTCACATTATTTATTGATAGTTTGATATTGGCACAGAAAGTCATGCATCCAAATTAAGTAATTACATAAAGTTAGGCGATACTGTAGACAGTGTAGAATCATAGAATCCCTACAGTGCGGAATCAGGCCCTTCGGCCCAGCAAGTCCACACCGAAACTCAGAGAATCCCACCCTCCTAATCTACACATCCCTGAAAACTATGGGCAATTTAGCATGGCCAATCGACCAAACCTGCACATTTTTAGACTGTGGGAGGAAACCGGAGCACCCGGAGAAAACGCACACAGACACGGGGAGAATGTGCAAACTCCACACAGACAGTCGCCTGAGGGTGGAATTGAGCCCTGGTCCATGGCGCTGTGAGGCAGCAATGCTAACCACTGAGCCACCGTGCCGCCCTGGTAGTCTATCAATATTTTATCAATATTGAAAGTTTTTGAGAAGATTTGCAGCTCGGATTGTGGATGAGGTTGTAGACTTGCTCGCCGAGCCGGTGTGTTTGGTTGCATTTGTTCCAGTGTGGTTGTCCATTCTTGGTCGGTTGCTTTGGAATATAAAGTTTTTTTGCGCACAATTTCCGGCTTGTATTTGTGGAGGTGGTTGTGGGCTTCGTTGATCATAACCCTTATCATTCTGCAGCCGTTCTGTGCAGTTGATCTTCGTGCCCGTGGATTGTTGATCAGTGGTTTATATTTTAAGCTTAGTGACCGTACCTGTTTCTGAGGCATCCGTGCAGGAAATATAGTCGTTTGCAGGTCACAATCAGACGGATGGCATTTGTCTCCCTCCAGTGGGCCAGTTTGAGTGTGTTGTGCCCGTAGGTGTTTCAAGTTTTTGAGAAGATTTGTAGCTCGGGTTGTGGATGAGGTTGTAGACTTGCTCACTGAGTTGGTGTGTTTGGATGCAACCAAACACATCAGCTCAGTGAGGAAGTCTACAACCGCAGTCTACCAATTCTCCTTTGCAATTTTATGGTAAGTGAATGGCAAAAACTATGGCAGATGGATTTCAATGTAAGGTTCAAGTGTGAGATTATCCATTTTGGACTGAAGAAGGATAGATCAGAATTCATTCCAGATACTATGAAGTTAAATACAGTGGATCTCCAATGAGACTTTTAGGATTCAGGTGCATGGATCTTTAAAATGTTTAAACATCTTTAAAACGGGTTGCAGAAAATAATCAAGAAAGCGAATAGAATGCTGGCCGTTTTAGCTAGGGGACTGGAGTGCAAGGATGCAGAAGTTATGTTACAGTTATACAAGACCCTAATAGACACCACCTAGAGTACTGGGAGCAGACCTGTGTATTATATCTTAAGAAGAATATTTTGATCTTGGAGGGAGTACAACGTAGATTTACGGGAATGCTACCTAACCTAACTCAGGTTAAGTTATGAGGGGAGATTATACAAATTAGGCCTGTTTTCTCCAGAATTTAGAAGGTTAAGGAGTGATCTGATTGAAGTCTTCAAGTCTTATTTGCCGGAAAAGACAGGGTTGGAGATTCTAGAACTAGGGGCATAGTCTCAGAATTGGGGCCAGACGTTCAGGAGAGATGTTAGGAAGCAATTTTTTTGATTTTCAATTTATTGTAGTCACATTTACCTAAGTATAGTGAAAAGCTTTGTTTTGTGAGCATTAGAGGCATTCTATAGCAAATAAGGACATACAGATCATAAGGTGTTTAGACAGAGTGAGGCATACAGATTACAGTGCTCTGGAGGTGTGCAAAGCAAGATCAGCATTATTTGAAGTTAGAGAGTCCATTCATCAGTCTAATAACAGCAGGGAAGAACCTGTTCTTGAACCTGTTGGTGCATGTGTTCAAACTTCTGCATCTTCTGCATGACGGCAGAGCATTACCGGGGTGGGAGGGTTGTTGATGTTGGCAAGGTTTCCAGTTGGGGAACACAGATTGTCTTCTTTGGCACCCAGATTCCTTTCCTTTGGAAGAAAGGAGGAGGACATACCCCCATCTACATTAATGGAGCAGAGGTGGAAAGGGTTGAGAGTGTCCAGTTCCTAGGAGTGACAATAACTGACAATCTGTCCTGAAGCTCCCACGTGGATGCGACGGTCAAGAAGGCACAACAAGGCCTCTTATTCCTCAGGCGGCGTAGGAAACTCGGCATGTCCATAAAGACCCTCAGCAACTTTTACAGATGCACTATTGAATGCGTACTATCTGGGTGCATAACAGCCTGTTACAGCAATTGCCCATGACCGTAAGAAACTACAAAAGGTGATGTGCACACGCACTCGTGAATGAAATCTGTGACGGACCACAAAGGGTGGTAGATGCTTGGAACTCTCTTCCGCAGACAACGGTGGATACTGGATCAGTTGTTAATTTTAGATCTGAGATAAATTTTTGTTAAACAAAGTTATTGAGGGATATGGTCCAAAGGCAAGTACATGGAGTTGGGCCACAGGTCAGCCACGATCTCATTAAATGATGGAACAGACTGGAGGGGCTGAATAGCCTATACTTGTTCCTATGTTCCTAAATGGAGATTAGCTCTCCAGAATTTTCTCCCAACTATGACACTGATGTGAGACTCACTGGTCTATAATTCCATGGTTTAAGTCCATCACCCTTCTTGAAAAGTGGAATCACATTAGCTGTCCTCCAATCCTCTGACATCTCGCTTGCGGCCACAGAGGAATTAAAAAAATAAGTCATAGCCCCGGGGATTCCCTCCCTCATGTCTCTCAGCAGCTTGGGATACAACTCATCTGAAGCTGGGTTTTTATCCACTTTTAAACCTGAGTATGCAAATAATTAAGCTGAGAACCAGTTTAGGCTTTTCAGTCAGATTTCTGGTGTGGTGTATTGGAATCCACGTATATTAATATGTAGGGCCCTACCCTTTGCAGTCAGACAGAAAATATTCATACCCTGAGCCTCTTTCAACTCAACTTAGTAGATGATTAGAGATAGTAGGAACTGCAGATGCTGGAGAATCTGAGATAACAAGGTGTAGAGCTGGACGAACACAGCAGGCCAAGCAGCATCATAGGAGCAGGAAGTCTGACATTTTGGGCCCAGACCCTTCTTCATCATTTCTGATGAAGGGTCTAGGCCCGAAACGTCAGCCTTCCTGCTCCTATGATATTAATAGATGATTAGGTTCATTTGTTAGGGTAATGCTCTGACCAATCAAAGTCAACCTGCCTGATTTGAATCTAAACATAGCCTGGCAGTTAACAGTCATTTATGATAAATTGCTACATTCTCCATAGCAATGCCTATACCAATCAGAATCCACTTGCCAACCAATCAGCACTCTCCTCTCAAACAATCTAAATGTTGGTTTTCCACTTGAACTGGTATTTCTGAAAATTGTGCTGATGAGTGCAAGATGAAAGTTTCAACAAAATTCAAATTGTACATTTTCAGCCTCACATTATGTTGCCATTGTTGTATACCTAGCTTAAAAAATAACCCTTATATTGTAGGTACTATCGTACCTCTGGTTCAGAGACACCTTCGCACACAGGTGGTGTTAGTGAGGAATTTAAGGAACGGCATCGACAAAGAGAACGGGATCGTCGGGAACATGGGGTTTATGCATCATCAAAGGACAATGAGAAGGAAAAGAAAAAGGAACGAAGCAGAGACCGTGATTGTGAGTCAGAGAGTTTGTGATTAAAATTCTATTTATTTCTATTGGTGTTTAAATGTAACTGAAATCAGTTTTTTTTATTTTGGGACCATTAGGATCTTTAAAGAACTCACTCTAGAATTTCTTTGGAATTCCATTTTGTCATTTGACATCTACAGCCTTTTCTATCATGGAATTGAAACACTGTTATGTTACTCAGTGGGCACCTAGTTTCCAAGATATGGACACACCGAAACTGTAATTTCAGATTTATGTTAAAAATTTTATATAGTTACTAAACATTTATATTAAGTTTTCTTGCAACAGTTCATAACTGAAAGTTTATAGACAGCAATACTAGATTTTGTTTTAGAAAACTTGGGTACCATTAGTTTTTCTTCTCCCTAGCTAATCACTGCCAAAGGTTGTTTACCACACCTGATTTTGTGGCTTTTCTTTATTTTGTTTTTGTTTTTGCATTCATGCTTATCTTCTTTTTCCTTCATTTTTCATGAAAGGTCTTAATAAAAATTGCTGTCCTCTTTCAAATTAAACTCCAGTTAAATTCCATTTTTCACTGATCTTCAACATTTTCTATGATCAGTAAACTCTAATTGATAATTATGACATTGAGTTTTCTGTATTTATATATGCATATACTGTAGATATCATACACTTTGGATTGTTATGGATTACATGTAAAACACTCATGATTTAGGGAGAACATATTCTTTTAATATCCAAATACAATTATTTAAAATCAAACATAGAAAACAGGAGCAAGAATAGGCCATTTGGCCCCTGGAGCCTGCTCTGTCATTCAGAAGGTTCATGGCTAATTTTCTACCTCAGTGCAATTTTTCTGTATATCCACATATTCCTTGCTGTCTCTAATATCTAAAGACCTACCTTGAGTATACTCAATGACTGCGCTTCCACAAACTCCAAAGGAGAGAATTCCAAAGATTCACCACCGGTAAGTTCAAAAACTCTTCATGTCAGTCCTAAATGGCCTAACCCTTATTCTGATATGGTGGCACCTGGTTCTGGACACCTGCTCCCCAGCCAAAGAAAACATCCTCCTGCATCTATCATGTTGAGCTCTGCAAGAATTTTGTATATTTCAATGAGATCATCCCTCAAAACACTAGAAAGTATAGGTTCAGGCCTCTCAATCGTATAAAACAATCCCGTTATCCCAGGAATTAGTTTGGTTAACCTTTGTAGCACTCACTTTATTAGAAAGTACATCTTTTCATGGGTGAGGGGACTGAATTTGTATACAATACTTCTAATACACTCTCACCAAAGCTGTCCACATTTGCAGCAAGATATCTTTACTCCTGTACTCAAATCCTCTTGCAATGAAAGTTAATGTATCATCGCCTTCCTTGTTATTTGCTGTGCCTGCATATTAGCTTTCAGTGATTTAAGCACAAGGATATGCAGCTTCTTTTGGAAATCAACACTTTTCAAACTCTCACCATTTAGGAAATGGAGTGTATTTCTGTTTCTTGCACCTGTTATGATTCCAGTTGATGTTATTACTGGACAAGTCAGATCTTAGACAGAAATCTGGCTTGATAGATCATATTTTGTTTGTTTAAGGTTGTAATGAGGTGGTCTTTCACTGAAGCACAAACATCTAATGCTACAGATTCATTTTAACAATGTAAGCAGAAGTTTATTACACATCAGAAATCATGATAAAATAGAATAACCAAACTGCTTACATATAAGACACATTTAAAGATTTTGAAACATATGCTAATCTAAAATTCCACTAATCCCAAAAGCATCCCGTTACAGGACCCAACCACCATCTTTCTCTATACCATGTAGGCTTTGATGTAATTTGGCTTAATTTCCCATTTGAGAGAATCTGATTGCAGCTCCCTTGATTTATCATATTACTAAGTGCTCATCTAAATATCGTTTAATTATCAAATAATCATTTACCTTTTCCTAGTTTTATTTGGTTTAAGCATGTTGGCTAGACCCTACTATATGATAATCCCTTAATCAGAGGTCTAGTTGAGTAATGAACAAAAGTTAGACAAAAATAGAAATTGCTGGAAAAGCTTAGCATGTCTGGCAGCATCTGTGGAGAAAAATCAGAGTTAACATTTCAGGTTGAGTGACCCTTCCTCAGAACTGATGGTAGCTAGGAAAATGTAGGTTTCTATGCAGAAGATAGGATGGGGGGGGAAGGAGAAAGGAGTAAACGATAGGTGGAGATAGAGCCCAAAGAGAAAGTCCCCAATAATAATTATTCACCCTCCTAGCCAGATCTTTATGCACAGACAAAGCAGTGGATAACGATCTGGCTAGGTGAATGAATAGCTATTAATGGGGACTGTTAATTTCTAAGAATATGTGGTGTGTAATAGCAGACCATGTGTTAACAAGGCCTAACTTGTGGGGTTGGGATAAGGACATGGGAGAGCTCAAACCCTAAAGTTATTGAACTCAATACTGAGGCTGGAAGGTTGCGGGGTCCCCACGTGGAAAATGAGGTGCTGTTCATCCAGTTTGCACAGAGCTTCACTGGAGCAGTGCAGCAAACCTGAGACACAGATATTGACCAGGGAACAGGGTAGTGTGTTGAAGTGGCAGGCAACTGGAAGTTCAGGCTGTTTTTTGCGAACAGAACGCAAGTGTTCTGCAAAGCAATCACCCACACAGTGCTTTGTTTCCCTGATGTAGAGAAGACAACGTTGTGAGTAGCAAATGCAGTAGACTGGATCATGTGAAGCACAAGTAAAGCGTTTTAAGGGGACCTCTTGAACGGTATACCCAGACTGCACCTTTCCTTTGGATATCACACCTACAATTGTTCATCTTTTATTCCGAGCTTTGCATCAATGGTCTCTCAGAATCCTCATCTTCAAGTTTGCAATTTAACAAAATAAATCAATTATATAGCAATGACTTCTAGCTTTAAGCCATTCTGGATAAACAGTAAGAATTGATAATGTGATTGAAACTGGCTTCTAATGCCAGAATCCAATTATAACTGAAGATCCAGAGAGATCTGAACAGTCTACAAAGAGTATCACTGCAAACTATCAGCTGCAGACCATTGCAATGACATTAAAACCTTTTTCTTTTAAACTTGGCAGCTACTGTATCTTGATAAGACCCCCAGTCCAAGTCCATCTGTGAAGAAAATTGATCTCTGAGTATAAATGCCACACTTGCTTATATTTGTGACTAGCTGAACATTAATCTCTCCAGGGGAATCTGGCAAAAATTCTGATATCTGACTCCAGCTTTTGGAACCAATCTGAACTGCAATTCTGAGTGGAAAATATTCCTTAATTGGGTCCAGAACAATGGCAAATCCAAGGCTACTTCAAATATGCGAACTACAAACTATTCTTTTGGTTTACAAGTTCTAAAAGCACATTAATCCTCCGTAACTGTGTTTCTTCCTGAACAGGCACATTAAGTCATTTTTAAAAAATTCATTCATGGCATTTGGGCGTCACTGGTTTGGCCAACATTTGTTGCCCATCCAGAATTGTTAAGAGTCGACCACATTGCTGTGGAGTCACATGTAAGTCAGACCAGATAAGAATGATAAATTAGCTTCCTTAGAGGACATTCGGAAACAGATGTTTTCTTTTTTCTGACAATTGACACATTTTCTTTCCTAAGACTGTACTGATTACAGTCAGTAAAGGAAAGGATACAAGGACTTTTGAAAAGGAACAGATTTGGAGTCCTTTTGAGGTTGCTGTCTGGAGGTCTGAAGGTATGGACAGTCTTGTCTATTTCGCAGCAGCTGCTTTTGTGTTTTTCTGCAGAAAGCATTTAAAGATTAAAAGGAAGGCCAACATGACGGCCTTACCATGTGAGTTCTCAAACTTCCCTTTTCAAATATGGAGTTGGGCGTACATTGATTAATGAAAGCCTCGATTATTATTTGCATACATTAAAATTGGGGGTTTGAGATTATCATTATTTTGGTTTCATAACTATGCATTCTAGTCAGAAAGTATCCTTTGGATCATTTCAGGAGGTGGAAATTGATGTCCCTAATCTGGATTGTGTCCTTTGTCTTTACGGGACAGATGCAGCAATTTCTGAATCCACAGATGAAAGTTTGGTGACCCTCTGGTCCTCTTGCATAACCCATCAGTGTCCAGTTTAAAAAGAGAGGTCAATTCCAGAAGGTTCCTTAATGAGTACAGTTTATGTTATAAAAGTTATGGATTATGACCCTGTTTGACCTGGCAGCCATCTAATTAAGAAGTTTGGTTCTATCTTGGTTGGATAGCTAGATTCCGCAGATTAACTTCTTTCCGTGCAAGTAATTTGTTTTGTTTCTTCTAGATGATCGAGAATGGAGTAAATCAAGTTCTTCCAGGAGTAAGGACAGAGATAGATCAGAGCGAAGTGAAAGAGGATACAGAGACAATTGCTCAGATCGAGGTAGAAGCAACAGAAAAGATGAACCAAGCACACCCAAGCACAGATTGAAAGGTAAGTGCAAATTAGTTTTTCATTCTGAATAATTGAAACAAAAACAGAAATTGCTGGTAAAATTCAGCAGGTCTGGCAGCATCTGTGGTCAGAAGGCAGAGTTAACATTGCAAGTCCAGTGACACTTTGTAACATTAACTCTGCTTTATCTCTATAGGTGCTGCCAGACCTGCTGGGTTTCTCCAGTTTCTCTGGTTTCAGAATTCCAGCATCTGCAGTTCTTTTTGCTTCACTGAATGTTGATTATATCTGCTGGAGAAACGAGTACAGGTTTGATGTCACTGGATTTTTATTGATTAGCTAACCTAGTGTCTGTACTTGCTCATTCAGCGCAGCACACATGAAGGGATGGTTGGGAAATTAGCAGTGATTCATAGAATTGCGTAAAAAATGCATCACGGGAACAGGTTTTTCAGCTCAACCAATCTATGTAGATGTTTTTGTTTCACTTGATACCCACCCCCACTCCAAGCTTTCTTCATAGAGTTGTCAGTATCAGTCTTTATTTCTTTCTCCCTAAATGCTTTCTTTCCTGCTCTTAAATGCATCCGCACAATTTACTCCAATCACTTCCTGCCACACTGAATTTCACTTTCACACTACCTGAAAAAGGATGCTTTTTGATGTGGGGACCAATTATGATTTTACAAATTGGCTAGTGATACCAAACTGAGAGAGGGCATAAGTTGACGTAATGAAGAATGGATGCTCTTGAGGATAGGTTTAAGATGAGAAGGGAAAGATATAAAAGGAACCTAAGGGACAACTTTTTCATGGAGAGGGTGGTGCCTCTATGGAATGAGCTGACAGAGGAAGTGATCGAGGCTCTGGATGGGTTTATGAACATGAAGGGTTTAGAGGGATATGGGCCAAATGTTGGCAAATGGGGCTAGATTAATTTAAAATATCTGGTCGGCATGGACGAGTTGGATGGAAGGGTCTGTTTCCGTGCTGTCCATCTCTATGACTCTACGATTTGGGTAGGCTGATTGAATGGGCTAGAACATGGCAGCTGGAATATAATGTGAATCAGTGTGAAATTATTCACTTTGACAGAAAATTCAGAAAGGCAGAATATTTCTTGAATGGAGTAAGGTTGTGAAGCCTGTGTCCGAAGGCATCTGGGTGCCTTTGTCCATTAAAAGTGAGAATGCATGCACCTTTAGCAATTAGGTAGGCAAACAGCATGTTGGCATTCATTTCAAGGGGATTTAAGTTAGGAAATAAACATGTCGTATAGTAGTTGTGTAGAGTCTTGGTAATACCTCACTTGAAGTATTTGCACAGTTATTGCCTCCTTATCTAAGGGAGGATTTACTTGCGTTGAGAGAGTTCTGTTGAGGTTCAGAATGTTCATATTTGGGATGGCAGGATTTTCTTTGAGGAAACTAGGTGTGTATTCCCTAAAATTTAAAAGATTGAGAGTTAATCTCACTGAAACTTGTCAAATTCGTACAAGGTTTTACAGGTTGGATATAGTTAAGTTGTTCCCTCTGGTTTGGATGAGAGTTTCACCTCTATTGGCATTCTTTACTGAGCATTCACAGGATGGAGCAGTAGTGAATCATCAGGCAGGCCGAGCAGCCAATCATATTAAAATACTTTCAAAGAAACACAGAAAAAGAAACTAATAGCATTGAAACGCCACACCTTTTGAGAAAAATATGTTGTGAAAGCTTAAGGTTGCAGCATTGACATGGGGGATGAAGGTAGAAAATAAAATGTTCAAAATATATTTAATTATTGTTAAACAAAGAATCGTCTTAAAAAATCTACTTGATCATTTTACAGCATTACACAATTATAAAATTAGTTTCACAGGCCCAGTTCTGTTGTTAAAATTTATTAATTGCAGTTAAAAGCACAATTATATTTGATTGAACAAGGTGTAACTTTTTATGGGGTTTAACAATTTGAGCTACAAATCTTTGCTAAAATCTTAAATCATCTCTCAGCCTTAACTTTTCAGCAGATCTAGCCTTTCCACCTTCACCTTATTGATCCTATTTTTTGCATCCACTGTAGCATCTGAATATTCATTTGATAATGTGGTGACAGAATTACTCTACAAGTGTGTTGTAAACGATATTTGATATTATGTAACTTCTCAACTTTTCAGTTCTTTTCCTGTAGAAAATAACTCTAGTATCTGGTTTGCTTTCTTATTTTTTGTCCTCATTAACTACATTGCTGCTTTTACAAATTTGTGTATTTGTAATTACAGATTAGAATATTTGACCTTTCTAATTTTCTTACAAAATGCAATACTTTTTGACTTGGGTATTGAAATTCATCAGCCAATTATATTGCCTTTCTACAGATTTATGAATTTGTTGCAGTCCTCCTCAGTATCAACCATTCTGTCCATTCCTATAAATTTTCATATTATGTATAAATTTAGAAATTGTTTTTTCTTCAAAATTTAAATTAATAACAATTTATGAACAACTGATGCTCCCAAAGTTGATGCCTGTGAGATCCCAAAATCATCTTTTTGTCATGCTGAACACTATCTTTTATCCCAGCCAACTGTGTGTTCTGTTACTTATCACCTGATACTACATGCTCTGTACATTTACTGTTAGTCTCACCGAAAACCAAAGAACAAATTATTTGGACCGAACCATTTCATATAAAAAGATATATAGTATGAGTAAGTGTTTATTTCAGTGCAGGGCTATGAAAAGACTGGGGCCTTGTTTTAATTTTTTTTGTATCACATTGAAATCACCTTGTTTTATAGATGCTCTTACTCCTTCTCGATCTAGCTGGGATGATGATGACAGTGGAATTGCAAGTCAGTATACTCATCGATCTCAGTGGGAGTCTCCATCTCCTACTCCCTCACAAAGGGATTCAGATAAAAGTGAAAGAAGTTATCGCTGTTCAGGTCGTGACACTGAGAGGCGTGATAAAGAAAGGTAGGTGAAAAATAAACGTGAAACAGAAAATACAGGTACTGTTTAAAAATAGATACATAGAATAGTACAATTTTGCCACCTTTCCCAATTATCTTAGAGAGAAACTTTGCATTTAAAAATGCTATTGTTGAAGTTAGTATTGTTGACAAGAATTTGACTCATCCAGTAATCAATTATTATTAACTAAAACTCTTAGGCCAGAAGGTAATTTTTCAAGAGCCAGAAATTTAGACAGCTTGCTAGTTAAATGAATCAATTCAAAGCATGTTCTCATGGTGGCTGAATGTGTAACTGAGGCATGTAAACCAGATAGGTCCCGAGTCTGTACTCCTTGCTGTCTTTAATCAGTTGATTTTAAGTAGACTATAGGCAACTGCTTTCAGTGTCTTTGAAAAGGATGTTCCTGATTTGCTAAAGATCATATTAGGCAGACTCATGAATACTGTGCCAAGTGAATGTGGAATTGCAGTGGAATCTTAAAGGAGGATTGGGAGAACATTGGTTAAAAAATAAGGAAATATAAAGCAGAACACGTTGCTCTTTGTTCTAAGCAGTTCATTGTTAGTTGATTGTCATAGAGTCCCACAGCAAATAGACAGGCTCTTCGCCCAAACTGGTCCATGCCAACCAAAATATCATCCATATTAACCTCATTTCCTTGCACTTGGTCCATATCCATCTAAACCTTTTCTATCCATGTATTTGTATAAATGTTGTTAACGTACCCATCTCAACCACTTCTGCTGGCAGTCCATTCTATATGCATACCACCCTCAGGTTCCCATGTATTCTTTCCCTTCTTACCTCAAACTGATGCCCTGTAGACCTTGATTCCCCAACCCTGGGAAAAAGACTGAGTGCATTCACCCTATCCATGCCTCTCATGCTCTTATACACTTCTATAAGATCCCTTCTCAGTGTCCTACGCTCTAAAGAAAAGAGTCCTAGCTTGTCCAACCTCTTTGAGCGTTGCTGCAGCACTTTATTCTCGATGTATTTCCATACAATTTTTATTCTATTTAATTCAGGTTCAAGTATTTAGCAAGAATGTTTTTCCATTTAGTAAAACTACGCAATAAGTAATGCCATCTAAGGAACACTCTCATCCAGTATGGAAATGTAGGAAGAATCATGAGAAACCATTTAGTTGTTAATGTAGTTATTGTCCTAGACAGAGTAGTGACAGAGTTGTAAATTTGCATATGGGGAGTTTCTCAATGAAAATTTGGCAATGTATTGTAGCCTGTTTGATCTTGAGACATGGAAACTGACATAGATCTTGTTTCTCTGTGACAGTTAAGGTTTAGGACCAAACAAAAAAGTTTTGTTACTTGTTCTGGGAATTAAGTCAACATCATGCCTTATATTTTAAGTTGAAATTTACTTTGTTCAGATCTAGAAGGAATCATTATGAAGAGGATACACCCCTGCCAACACCGTCGTACAAATACAATGAGTGGGCTGATGACAGAAGGCATTTGGGGGCGACACCGCGTCTTTCAAAAGGCAAAGGTACATGATTTTTCCTGAATTTTTTCTTACTACTGAATTTTTTTTTAAATACCAACATTATACTCAAAAATCCAAATTGGTTGTAGCTCTGTCCCCATTGATCAGTGACTTTACAACACAGAAACTTAGAACTACACAGTCATTCTGGAGGTTGCATTTCCATCTTTCATGGGAGATAGATGGAAAATTCAGCGCAGTAAACTGTTAATTTAGAAACGTAACAGATTTAGTAACCTGAAGCACTAAGGGTATCAAATGGCATAAAAGAAATCCAACGCATGGTATTTTGCTTTCAAAATTATGTAAACTTGGTGGAAAGAATAAACAAACAATACTTTGGTATTTTTAATGCAAGATTAAAACTTGTGATAAGCTTCTTTAATGCTGAAAAAATGGACCACTGTATACCTCTAATACAATCTTGTTGTGTTAGATTAAAATGTAACCATTTCCAACCTATTCAGGTAAGAGGGAGGAAGGTAAAGATGGCATTTATTTTGAGAATGAAGAGGAACAACGGCAATGGGAGGAAGATCAAAGGGTGAGTCATTATCTTTAATTTTAAATCATTGTTGGAGAAATAATTTAACAAATCTGTTTATCAGTTGAAAAATATTATCTATTATGCATCATCCTTTTTTGAAAAAAAAATTGTCAGCATTTAAATTTCCACTCTTTTCTGATGTAGAGTAATAACAGAAGAAATAGGAGCAGCAATAGGCCATTGAGCCCCTCAAGCCTGCCCTACCGTTCAACAAGATCGTGACTGATCTGCCTCAGTTCTCAAGTTCTGTTTTGTGCCAGCTCTTCACTGTCGTCAACTTGATACTTCAAAAATCCACCTACCTCCTTTTTAAATACTCTGAGCAATCTAATGATTCACAACTCTGTGGTAGAAATTCTAGACAATTCAATACCGTCTAACAGAACAAATTCCTTATTATCTCAGTTTTAAATGAATATCCCCCTACTTTGTAGCTATGGGCCCTAGTTCAAGTTTCGCTCACTAAGGGAAACATCTTATCAATGGTCAAGACACCTCAGAATCTTGCATGTTTCAATATGATCACCTCTTATTCTTTTGAATGATAAGGGCCTAACCTATTTAGCTTTCTTGGTAAATCAACTCAGGAATCAGTCTGGTGAATTTCTTTTGAAATGCCTCTGGTGCCACAACATCCTTTCTTAAATATGGGGATAGAATCTGTACACAGTACTCCATACAGTTTTAACAAGACTTCCCTATTTTTAATCTCCAGCCCCCCAGGGGATAAAGGCCAAAATTCCATTTGTGTTAATTACTCGCTGCACCTGCATGTAAACATTTTGAGTTTCGGGCACAAGAATGCCCAGATCCCTTTGTGCTGCATTTTTGGAGTCTCTCTCCATTTAAATAGTAGTATGCCTTTTGATTCTTCCTACCAAAGTGTATGAACCTACGCTTTGCTACGTTAAACTCTGTCATGTTTTTGTCCACTCACTTAATGTATCTCTGTCCTCTTTGCAGATTTCTCATGTCCTTAACACATCATGTGCTCCCAGCTATTTTTGTATCGTCAACAAATTTGGATACTCTACACTCTATCCCCTTCTCAAATTTATTAATATAGATAGTAATTGAGACCTGAGGACTGATCCTTATGGTATTGCACTAGTTGCGTCTTTCCAACTGAAAAAGACACAATAATGCGGACTGTCTTGTCTTCCGAATGTCAACCAATCTCTGCAGCCACTTCCTTTAAAAACATTGGATACAGGCCATCAGGTCTTGGCAATTTGTCTAGTTTCAGATCTATTAGTTTGTAAAATTCCCAAATGTGAAGGATTAGTAATTGAATCTGAACAGGCCTATTTGGCAAACCATTCAGTTTAAGGGCAATTAAGGATAGGCAATAAGTGATGCCATGTTCTAAGAAATAAATGACTCTATCACTATTACATGATCTTTCCTTTCATTATCACCTTGCTTATCTGTTATCTTTGGAATATTTATAGTATCCTCCTGCATGAAGATTGTTGCAAAATATTGGTTTCAAGTATCTACCATTTCCTGTTCCTATTATCAATTAATCAGTTGCATCCTCCAAGGGTCCTGCACTCATTTTAGTTACTCTGTCTTTTATATACCTGGAAATGTATTTGCTGTTTGATTTTATATTTCTGGCCAATTTACTTTTGTAACCGATTTTCCAGCTTTTTATTAGCTTTTTAGTAATCCGCTGCTAGTTGAAAAGCATTTTGTTTTTTGGGTTTTCTATGCTTTAATTTTTGATTGGATACTGTCCATGACCACTTTTATTAACCACAAAATTCATTGTTCATCACGTTCTTCTGAATGATGGGAAAGATGCATACATATGCATACATATTTTCTGAAGAAGGGTCCAGACCCGAAACGGCAGCTTTCCTGCTGCTCTGATGCTGCTTGGCCTGCTGTGTTCATCCAGCTCTACACCTTGTTATCTCAGATTCTCCAGCATCGGCAGTTGCTACTATCTCCTACATATGCCATAAATTTCTTCTCAACAGGAAGAAAACATATATGAAAGATTTTTGCAACTGTGTGAAATGTTGCTAAGCATTCATACATTTCATTTAATTCATAAAATTATTCTGCATTGCAGAAATAATGTTGACTAGGGTGCCAAGGCATCATAACATGTTGGAATCTTTTATAACTGTTCTGAAGAAGTGTCACTAGACCAAAACCTCATCTCTGCTTTTTTTTTCTCAGATGCTGCCAGACCTGAGTTTTCTCAGCAATTTCTGGTTTTGTTTCTGATTTCCAGCGTCCACAATTCTTTAGAACCTTATTTATCCACTTGAGCAGATATTGAGGCCTAAGTTTAAAGTCTTAGCTAACAGACAACATGGCACTCCATCAGTACTGTGCTGAACTGCTGGTTTAAATCATCTGCTTAAGCCATTGAAACCAACTAGACCAAGATGGTTTTCATTGAGTGTAAGACCAGGTGAATTGATGAGTTGGCAAATTTTACTCTTTCCATTTGTTGATCTGAATTAACACTAGTTTACTTGCCAAGCCTAAAATATTAATCAATAAATCATTTTTAAATGAGCTGTGTACATGTTTGTAGATGAATAAAGGCTTTCTGGGTGTGCTTTGTCCATGTTCTGTTATGCTTCTTTCTTTTGAAAGTTTCTTGTCCAGATTTTAAAGAAACTCTGTAACATTCATCTGTGAAAGGTGGTAGGGTGCAAGTTTGTCTCAGTTTTATCCAATTGAGTTAAGTTATATTATTTATCATATCACTAGGCAATGTCTCATTACAACTGACATCCATTCTCTGGGGACATGTGCTTTAGATTGCTCAAGTGCATTTTTTGCAACTAGAAGGATATTGTCTGAACAGAGGTTAACAGTGTTGTGATGAAAGCAAATTGAAGGTCATTTTATGTACCAAATACAAATATTTTACTTATTTCATGCCCCAGTGGTTTGTGAACTAGACTGTGAGCGTACATTGAAATTAATCATAGCTCAGCAAGTATACATGAGTGACAATTAATTATTAAGGTTAATAATATTAAGCTGCTCCATTCTACCTGTCAACCTCACATTTTCCCACTTTATGTTCCACCTGCCAAGTTTTTGCTCCCTCACTTAACTAGTCTACATCCCTCTCCAGACCCTTTGACTCATCCTCACCGTTTGCCATCCCATCTGTTTTTGTGGCATCCATAAACTTGATTATAGTACATTCACTTTCCTCATCCAATCATTAATATATATAGGAAATAAATTTGGTTCCAGTACTGATCCCTGTGGCACTCCACTAGCTACAGGTTGCTATCCTGAAAATGTCCCACTTATCCCAATTCTTTGTCATCTATTAGCTCACCAACCTCTAATCATGCTAATATACTGCCTGCAGCACCAAAGGCTCTTGTTCAGTAGCCTAATGTTTGGTTTCTTGTCAAATACTTTCTGAAAATCCAAATATATTACGTCCTCAGTTTCCCCTTTATCTATAATGCCTGTTACCTTCTCAAAAGTTATAATACATTTGTCAGGCATGATTCCCTTTTCATGAAGCCATGTTGACTCTACTTGACCATATTATGTTTTTCTCAATGCTCTGCTATTACATCTTTTATAGTAGGCTCTAACAATTTTTTCCCATAAAAGACATTGTTAACTGGATAAAAACTGAAAGAACAGAACTGTTCTGAGGAAGGGTCACCAGACTTGAAATGTTAACTCTGATTTTTTTCCTTACAGATGCTGCCAGACCAGCTGAGCTTTTTGAGCAACTTCTGTTTTTGTCCATGTATTAAGCTAACTGGTCTGTAGCTACCCGTTTTTGTTTTTATCTCCATCCTTTTTTAAATAAAGAGATTACGTTGGCAGTTTCCAATCCTCTGGGACTTTTCCAGACTCTAACA